GCGTGAGCTACGTACACCCGCTCCTCGAGCGCAAAAGACGCCAGTGTACGTGCTCGAGAAGCGGTCTACGTGTTCACACGTCCTTCTTCGCGCAGACGGTGTACGACAGCCTCTTCAGGCGCCGTACATAGGACCTAGCAAATTGCTACACCGTGCGCGTAAGGCATACACTATTGACCGCAGTGGTCTACACAAAGTCGTCACCATCGACCGTCTACAACCCGCCTTTATGGAGGAACACCCTCGCCTACTTCGTCTAGTGGTGCTCCGTGCGACGTCACTACTCACCGCACCAGTTTTCCGCATGCTAGTGAAGTTCAACCAGACCACGATCTCGGTCTAAAAGCTGTAGCCATCCCCACATTTCCGGAATCTAGTCCGCCGCCTTCCACGACCAAGCGCCGTGGTCGAGAGGGCCTGAGCCCGTTCGTCTTTCCGACTATGTACAGTGCAAATACATTTAGATTTGTAAATATTGCATATATTTGCCCCATTTTTGGTCGATTAACGTTTTGAAAACAACCAAAAACATCAAAATCTTATGAAACATTTTTTCAAAACAGTATTCAAAAACCAAAAACTTAAACGCCCAGATAATTCGTTTGATTTTTCTGCGCGTGTTTTTCTATTTTCTAGTCTCTACATGTCCCAAACCCCTTCGATCGACTGGCCACTACGAGGAATGTTTTGAGGACCCTGATGTGAACGCTAGTCGTTTCTCCACGGAGCGGCTGTCGCTTTTTCGCGGGACGAGTGTTGCTTTTTGGCGGCATGTGTGTTCCTTCGCGGAACGGGGGTCTCTACTCCGCCAGACAACGGTAGTTTTTTCTGGGGACGATGGTCGTTTCTCCGTGGCACGATGGTCGTTTGCGCTCGGGGTGGAGTGCGTCGGGGGGAGAGACCACTCCCAGGCGCATCGCATGGCAGCCGCGGAGGTTGGGGTCCTGTTGGCCTTTTTCTGGGCTAGCCAGTGTTTTGCAGTCCCACAAGCCTGCTCCAATGGCTCGCGGAAATGCACCCTGCTGTGCAATCACCAATAATAACAAATCACTAACGGCACAGTGGACTCCGACCTCCGGCGAAACCCTATTTACACGAACGCTTGCTCATTTGTTCTCGACACCATTTTGCCTTACCAAACTCGATTCAACAGGCTTTTCGTAAGCGAAGGCCTTCCATGTTCAGTCTTCTAGGGGAAGCTCTGTATCGACCAAAAAGATAACTACCATCTTTCATGTACAAGTTAATTGTTGACCGATTGTACATTATTCCTTCTTGTTTTAACCGTCCTTACAAACGGCTCGACACTTGTTCGTCTTGTAAGTTTCCGCGTTCATATTTTTGTTCTTGTCTCGCTTCATCCGTCTGCGATTTTTTGTAGCCCATCGAATACAGTCCGCTGTGTCCGACTCCAATTATTTTCTGATATCCTCGCTGATCATGCCTTCATGAGCGTGCCTCGCATAGTCGAGAATAAACTATTTAATTTTTTTTTATTTATTGCGCGCATCTTATCGGACTAGTATTAACTAGTCCTATAATAACAATTTAGAAATGTGTAGCGCCTTGACGAATGCTACACAAGAAATCCGTAGCCTAGTACGACAGAAGATGGCAGGATATAAAGAATGTCTTGAGAAAACAGCACCGTACAATAGCTATGTAAACATAGCCTGAGGGCAATGGGAGAAAGTGGTGAAGCAATGGGCTACACCACGACGGAGCACAACAGCCGGGAACACGCGGGCAATACTGCGGACCAACTTCAAACATGCAGTCCGGTAAATATAGGCTTTGGATGAATGCAAAGTAAAACAAAATGTGTACAATTCTTGATGGCGATGCTTGCTGGAGTAAAATGTCATTGTCACTACACAGGCCTCCTCTAGAAGGCCGAGGGACGAGGACTTCGATCGATGTTGGCTCGCAGAGGTATAAAAGGCAGAATCATAGGGGTTCGTTAGTATTTAGATTATTTAATCTTCTTGTGGACTGGGATGCACCATCGGTGGGCCGTCCCAGCGCGCACACCGGACAACAGAAATATTGGCTAATCCAGAAAAAGGGCCGTTAGGACCTATCACTGCCGCTAAAAGACGGTGCTCTTGGGAGAGGTCACTCTCCCACCGCATTCCAATCCACTGCCACAACGAAGCTGTAATCCTGTTCTTACCGGCGAGCCGTGGGGGACCAAAAACAACGAGCCTGGCACACGAGCAGTCGAAGCCAGGAAGGCGAGCCAGACAAACGACCTGAGCGAGCCAAAATAAGCCAGCAGACCAAGATCCAGAGGCCAACGTGGGCAGGCGAGACGACCAAGCGTTAGGGGTGGGCCAAAGCATCCAAACGACCAAAACAATTAAGAAACAGCCAGCCGTTGAACAGACGGACCCAAACGTGCTAGCCTCATGACTTTACCTGATAGATGAGGAAAAACCTCAGGGAGAGAGATTCAGATATTTACTCTGCTAACCGAAAAGCATGATACAACAACTAGCGAAAATGAAATAGATTCCTGAGGTGTAGATGAGTTCGACAAAATCGGCGAAACGAACAGGCTTACGAACTTCTCTACCGTGACTGGTGTTAGTTTGCGACGAATCTGATGGCTGGGCTTGTGGTGGAGCTGAAAGTTGGGCGTCGAAATAGGTGGGTCTGTAGATTGCGTTCAAGTCGATGATGGAACAAACTGTTGTTCAACGATTAACGCAGGCTTGACGCGATCTATCCAGACAGTATCCCTCTTACCCCCACGGTCAATCACCAAAGTTTTTGAAGACCGTTGAACAACACGGTATGGACCTGTGTAAGGTGCGGATAGAGGCTGTCTCAATTGGTCGACACGTAAGCATACGTATTAACCTGTAGTAAGGTCTTTCGAAACGTGCACTGGAGTGCGTTGTTCCCTGGGCCTCGCAGGGTGCAGCTGATGCATGTGGTGCGTTAGACGAGTTATGTAGCTCTTGTAGTTCCATGCCCACTCCGGTGTTGGGGCGACTAATTGTCCAAGGAGAAGCAATGTGCAGCCATAAACGAGTTCTGCCGGAGTAACGTTAAGTTCGGCTTTGACAGTATTTCGTAAGCCAAGTAAAACGGTGGGAAGCGCTTCGTACCAGTCTGCGTTATCATGTGCACATAGTGCATCTTCCAGCTGATGATGAAAACGCACAACCATACCGTTGGCGGCAGGGTGGAATGCAGTCGTTTGGACGTGACGGCAGCCGAGAGTCTGAAGAAGGTGAGAAAATGTGCCTGCGAAGTGCGAACCTTGATCAGTTGTCACAACGGCAGGACAACCAAAGTATAGTACGCATCGCCCTAGAAAAGCGCGAGCAACAATGTTTGATGAGCAATCGAGCATTGGGATGGCAACAGGCCATCTTGTAAAGCGGTCTATAGAAGTCAGCAAGTAAACGCATCATTTGGATGGAGGCAGTGACCCAACAAGGTCAACATGAATATGGTGAAAACGGGCATCAGGAAGTGGAAATGAACCAAGCGGACTTTTCGTGTGTCGATGAACCTTAGACTGTTGACAACTAAGGCAAGTTCGAGCCCATTGTCTAGCGTCCCGGTTGAAGTTGCGCCACACGAAGCGTTGTGTGACGAGCTTAACTGCGGCACGAATGCCTGGATGCGATAAACTGTAAAAAATGTCAAACACAGTGCGTCGGAAAGCTTTGGGGACCACTGGTCGTGGTGAATTTTGCGAAACGTCGCAAAGTATGGTTCCATCCGAAGTAGGCAGTGGAACTGGTCGTATGCGTAAGGAGCTAGAGTTACGGAGCTGAGCCAGCTCCCGGTCGATCTGTTGAGCAGCAGCCATTGCCGCTAGACCGATACCTTCAGCGGATGTGATGGAGCTGATGCGAGAAAGGGCATCAGCGGCGGAGTTCTGCACACCCGAGACGTGCCGTATATCTGACGTAACCTGTGAGACATTGTCCAGGTGGCGTATCTCTCTCGGAGAGTATCTGTCGGATGACGAGTCGAGGGCGTAAAATGAAGGTTTGTGGTCAGTGAAGACGGTAAAGCTTCTGCCCTCTAGAAAAGGACGAAAATGACGGATGGCGAGGTAAACTGCCAGAAGTTCTTTCCCGAAGGTGCTGTAACGTGTCTCCGCTGGCTGCAACCATTTCGAAAAGAAATCCAAATGTTGCCATGTATGGTCGACAGCCTGCTGAAGAACAGCAACAACGGCCTTGTCTGTATCCGGAAATCAGATAAAAACATAAAAGACAAAAGGGAAAATATATAATGATGATTGAAAGCTGGGCTGAAGGGAATCGCCTACCAGTGCGGTCGATCAGGCAATCGATCGAGCGGAAGAATGCGTTTTCAAACACCCGGCTAATTGGACTTTTGCCTCAGAGTTGACAGGACAGTGTTTTCGGCGGCATTTTTCTGGCTACGGTGGCAGAGTTTTTGTTAACACGTTTTTCGTGGTCAAGACTGTTGGAATTTTGATTTTTCTTCGGCTGAGCTAGACTTTTTTGCGGAGAAATTTCTGGGCAGTTAATTCGGAATAGCGGAAAAATGTGAAGATCTAACAGTCTGAGGCATCAGTGACGACAGAAATTGGGGCAGATGGTACCGGATGTGCTAAGAGAGCAGTATTAGCGATTGCGTCTTTAAAGTTTGAGAAGACAAATCGCGCGGACTTGGTAAAAATAAACGGACTTTGATTGCCCCGAAGCAAATCAGTCAAGGGCTGCATTATCTTAGTAGAACACGGAACAAAGCGTCGATAGTAGTTGACTATCCCAAGGAAACGTTTAAGCTGTTTAAACGACGTAGATTCAGGGAAATCTTTGATGGCGGTTACCTTTAGTAACAGTGGTTCAATATCCGTAGCTGAGATGCGGTGACCTAGGAACCCGATCGACGATTTTCCTAGTTCACACTTGCTAGGGTTCAAGGCATTGCCTCGCTCAGATAGGCGTTGGAATAGAGTACGCAGGTGCTCTAAGTGTTGCGACTTAGAGGCGCTAGCTACTAGGATGTCATCCACGTAAGGATATGCGAAGTCCAAACCACGAGTAACGTCATGGCTAAACCGCTGGAATGTTTGAGCAGCGTTCCTCAACCCAAAAGACATTCGAAGGAACTCGAATAAACCAAAGGGTGTTATAACTGCAGTTTCAGGGTGGTCGCAGTCCTCTACTGGAATCTGGGGAAATGCTCGCGTCAGGTCTATCTTACTAAACACTGACTTACCACCGAGACTACTTGTAAGGTCATGGATGTGTGGTGTAGGATACCTATCTGCAACTGTGCGCTTGTTCAGCGCCCGATAGTCTCCGCAGGGCCGCCAGTCGACGCATTTCTTGGGCACCATGTGAAGAGGTGAGTGCCACTGACTTTCGGAAGGACGGATGATACCAAGTTTGAGCATGTGCTCGAATTCCGCCTTAGCAGCTTTTAGCTTATCAGGGGCGAGACGTCGTGGCCGTGCAGAAACCGGTGGGCCAGGGGGTGCGTATATGGTGCGTAACGCTAGATGCGACCGGAAGCGTACCCTCAGCTGAGTGGACCAGCTGCGGAAACTGTCTGAACAAATCTAAAATTTTTTATCGGCTTCGGGCTGAATGTCAATGGGAGTGACAGAAACACAGGATGTGCGAACTCCACATGTGAAAAGCTGGGTCTTTTGTCAACGAGTTTGCGATGACGCGTATCGACGAGAAGATCGAAGTGTTGAAGGAAGTCGATACCCAATATAGCAAACGGAACAGCAGCGATGGTGAAAATCCATCGAAAGGGACGTCGTAGTCCGAGGTCAATGGTAAGGGAGCGTTGACCGAAAACTCGGATAGCAGTGCCGTTAGCGGCACGCAAGTTGGTTGTCTGTGGCTTAGTCGCGTCGCCTGGAACCGGTGGGATCACGCTAACTTCCGCCCCGGTATCAACCAGGAACATGATCCCGGTGTTCCTATCAACGATTTTGAAGAGGCGACTTGGACGACTTCGGCCGACGACGTTCGTCGCCACTACGTGTCGGCCTGTCCCTTTTCCCGTTACGGGAAATGAGCATGGTTTTATACAATTTCTAGCGGACCTTCCAAAACGTGCGTGATAACGGCAAATTGGGCGTCGTGTTCGTCTTCGAGATGGGCTAGGGGAACGGGATGGAGAATCCCGTTGGTGCCGATGTAACTTTAAGCTTTGAACTTCTTGCCGTAGCGCGGCTATCTCTGCTAAGAGCTCACCAGTCGAAGGTGGAGTAGCGGTGTCGATGGTTTGGACCGAAGGGTCAGCAGTAAAACCTACGTCAGGTGAGCGAACAGAACTAGACGACGGACACGGTGGTCCGGTGAAACGATCCATCATGTCATCAGCAATATCTGCAATTTCTGACAAAGGCTGCGATTTCGCAAGCGATAGCATAGCTTGTACGTTTTCAGGCAAACGCTGAAGCCATAACTCTCGAAGCAGCGACTCGTCCATATGCGATCCTTGAAGAAGACCACGCATCTCTAGCAACAGCGCGGATGGCTTACTAGAACCTAGCTGTAGACCAGTAAAAAGTTTATGCAGGCGGGACTTCTCTGAGGGAGTAACACGCTTTATTACAGCGTTCTTGAGAAAATTATAACGGTCAGGAGAACGAGATGTAATAATAAGATCACGTAGTGCTATAGTAATATCAGTTGGCAGGCGTGTTAGCAAGTGATTAAACTTTGCAGAGTCACTAGTAACATGCTTAGAAGTAAATTCAGCTTCTAAAATCATGAACCACAAAACGGGATCTTTTTCAATAAAGGGTGGAACTACGAGAGATACCGCTTGCACAGACTGTGAATCTTCACACTTTTAGAAACTGAGGCCATGGCTTGCGTGGAAAAACCAAAGAAATGGAACGAACTCACCGGAATGCGATTGGAAGTCACGTCCAGGTCGGGGTCACCAATTATGTAGCGCCTTGACGAATGCTACACAAGAAATCCGTAGCCCAGTAAGACAGAAGACGGCAGGATATAAAGAATGTCTTGAGAAAATAGCACTGTACAATAGCTATGTAAATATAGCCTGAGGGCAGTGGGAGAAAGTGGTGAAGCAATGAGTTACACCACGACGGAGCGCAACAGCCGGGAACACGCGGGCAAAATTGCGGACCAATTTCAAAAATGCAGTCCGGTAAATGTAGGCTTTGGATGAGTGCAAAGTAAAACAAAACGTGTACAATTCTTGTTGGTGATGCCTGATGGAGTAAAATGTTATTGTCACTATAAATGCTCTTTATAACCCATGATTCCTCGCGGAAACTAGGTACGACGTAAATAGCCGTAAAACAAACTTTGCAGACCTACTTAGCAAATCTAGGGAAAGAGTGATAATGTATTGAGAAAACGCAAGGAATCCAATGAGGGAAGTTGTATATGCAAGAGACTTGAAGACAAAATAAACTTAGCCCCTAGTCAGTAGGCCACACTGTACCATTTTCAGAGGATACTGAGCCACATAAAACAACTATGAAGCTAGAGTTCAGTAGTTTTAAGCCTCTAATTGGTTAAGAAAGAAATAGGAAGACTGCTGGAGCCTGGACTGCCTGAATAATACAGGAGACCCTTATGAGCATTTGACCCTTTTGACTTGAAAAACGCACACATATTTTAGACACATATCGCAACTATTCTCGCTTAGAGCCCATTTTCTACCTCCATAAGGATAGATCACCAACATCCGTGAGCTAGAAGAGACTGTCGATACTAATAAAGGCACGGTTACCGGGAAATTTAGCAAAATGCTTCAGGAAGTAAAATAAAGTAGGATCTGCGATGGTGGGCAAAAACAACTCTGCTTTTGGGGTTTGCAACGCCCAAAAGGATCGCACTTATCTTTCATGTACAATTTACTTGTTGACCGATTGTACATTATTCCTTCTTGTTTTAATCCTCCTTACAACCAGCTCGACACAAAAGCCTTGTAAGTTCCCGCGCTCACGCGTACGCTCTCGCCTCGCGTCATCCGTCTGCTTCTTATTGTAGCCCATCGAATACAATCCGCTGTGTCCGACTCCCATTGCCTTCTGATATCCGCGCTTACTTTTGCGCACCGTCTCGGACTAGTATTAACTAGTCCTACAAATTGGTGACCCCGATTCGCACGCGCGAATTCAACTTTTTTCTCGTTTGTATTTTTTGGTGAGTTCGTTCCTTTTTCTCGATTATATACCAGTATTCATTTGTTTCTTGCGTAATTTTAGTACTTTTATCGTGTTTTTGTTCATCCTTTATCTTTCGACTCACATTTCGAGAGTGGCATCTGAGTCGTTTCACAGCGTAACCATGCTTACTTTGGCTGTTCCAAGTTTCATGGAACACAGCCCAGAGGTTTGGTTTAAGATATTCGAGATCGAACTGGAAAATAAGGGCATTACGGCGGACCGTCCGAGGTACAATCAGCTCGTCCCACGCCTTCCTTCGTCGGTTGTGACGCTGGTTGAGGACATTCTACTCTGCCCATCGAATGAGGCAAAGTATGAAACAATGAAGCAAGCGATTTTAAAAGAGTTACAGCCCAGCGCACGAGCTCGATTTGAACAGCTCAATGGTCTCAAGCTTGGAGATCGCAAGCCGTCGGCGTTGCTCCGCGAACTTCAGCGCATCGCTGGTCCCTTATTCTTGAGCGAAGAAGGGATAAAGGAGCTGTGGTTTGCACGTCTCCCAGAGCCATTGCCGGTAATGCTGTCCATGTTTATAGATACACCCTGAAAGAATTAGCTACCAAGGCAGACGCTGCGTTCGAACGTTTTCCGCAGCAGACGACCAGTAGCTCCGGTGACGTATTCTCACCGATGAAAACCGAATCTCATGTTTGTTCCCAGTCGTTAGACCGATCTGACTCTAAAGACGAGGAAATTGCGCTACTTCGCAGCAGGATAGCAGCAATGAAGGCTTCGAAGCAGCGTGTGCCACGGTCAAATGCTGACCACGTTTTGGCTACCGTTCATTGCGGCTCGTCTGTGCCTGCACCGAGTACGTCACGTTCGGCACGAAAGCGCAACATTTTCCCTACAAGTTCTCAGTCAGATAATGTCAAACCCGTCGAAGAAGTATGTTGGTATCACCGCCAATACGGTGGAAGAGCTAGACGTTGTCGGGCTCCCTGCATTAGGCACGACCCAGCTGCTTCAGGGAAACGAATAGCCCGCATACTAGCACGACAAACGTATCATTCAATAACCA